AGACTAGATGGCTCATGTGGTCTCTTCCAACTATGATTCTATGATTTCGCTTAATTTTTGGCACTTAGAAACAAATGCTACAGATATGTCTTTTTCTAGACTTTGACTGGTGGATCATAAGGTTTTAGTTTTTTAAAAAAAAACCCAAATTGAATTAGATCCTGCAAGCTCCAGGCTTGTTGGGAGTTTCAAAAAGTTACTTTGGGGAATTGCACCTCCCAGAAGCCCCAGCTAGTATGGCTTGTTTTGGCTGGAGGATTCTACAACTTGCATGCTTAAAAGTAACTTTCTCATTTTCTGATTTTGCCTTCCCCATACAATGAATATTCATCTTCTGAATAGCTCTAATCATCTAATTTTAATCTGAAGCAATTAGCATAAATGTAAACAACATAAAAAATTATCATATGAGTTCTGAAGATCAAATATCAGTCGATGCTTATTAGTTAAAAGGATTGAGTCAAGCTAATACTTCCTTGCCTGCCTGTTAACAGGTAATCTGCAAATAGGCTTGTAAATTTTATGTTACCACAGTATTTGCTATCTAGAATTCTCAAAATCCTTAAGACAGAAGAGAACAGAACCAAATATAAAATAAGACAGTCATCTTGAGTTATCTATGGAGAGTTATTCACTTCTCTCTCTCATTTGAATTATTCATTTTGTCTTTGGGGCATGTGTGTGTGTGCACATGGAAACAACCCAAATAGAATAAAAGGTAATTCCTTTCTGCAGTGGGGCCTCAACTTTTGTGGCAATTAGGGGCACAGGATCCCCATAAAAGTGGAAAATGTGAATAAAACAGTATTTTTTTAATCTGAGAAAACACCTCTTGGAATCTCTGGATCCTCCAGTGCATATCTATGGTCAACTTCCAGTAAAATTCAACTATAGAGTCATGTTGGAGGACTTAAATATCACAATTGAAATCTTTCTGTTGGGAAATGTTCAGCCTAACCTCTGCCGCTCTCTTTCCCCTTGTGAAGCAAAGTCAATAGTAGAGTCTGGGAGATGCAGAAGATTGCAAATCACCAATTTTCTCACTACCTCACAGAATCTAAGGTTGCTGGACTGCAGTTCCCAGCAGCCCTAAGCAATATAGCCAATGATGAAAAAAATAGGCTGGGAGGGGGCTGCTATCCACCGATATTTGAAGAGCCACACATTCCATTCCCTTGGCCTTTTATTTATTTGTCGTGTCAGGCAACCAGTCAATTATATTACATTTCTAACAGAACAAAGCAAACAGACAAATACAAAATTTGTGAGTTTGGTAGTTGATTAAATGTCCTTTGACCAGTATCTGGCCACTTGGATTGCTTCTGGTGTTGCTGCAAGAAGATCCTCCATTGTGCATGTGGCAGGGCTCAGGTTGCATTGCAGCAGGTGGTCAGTGGTTTGCTCTTCTCCACACTCGCATGTCGTGGATTCCACTTTGTGGCCCCATTTCTTGAGGTTGGCTCTGCATCTCGTGGTGCCAGAGCGCAGTCTGTTCAGTGCCTTCCAAGTCACCCAGTCTTCTGTGTGCCCAGGGGGGAGTCTCTCATTTGGTATCAGCCATTGGTTGAGGTTCCGGGTTTTAGCCTGCCACTTTTGGACTCTCTCTTGCTTGCTGAGTGTCTCTGTAGATCTTAGAAAACTATTTCTTGATTTAAGTCGTTGACGTGCTGGCTGATACCCAAACAGGGGATGAACTGGAGATGTCTCTGCCTTGGTCCTTTCACTGTTGGCTGCTACTTCCCGTCGGATGTCAGGTGGTGCAATACCAGCTAAGCAGTGTAATTTCTCCAGTGGTGTAGGGCGCAGACACCCCGTGATAATGCGGCATGTCTCATTAAGAGCCACATCCACTGTTTTAGTGTGGTGAGATGTGTTCCACACTGGGCATGCGTACTCAGCAGCAGAGTAGCACAGCGCAAGGGCAGATGTCTTCACTGTATCTGGCTGTGATCCCCAGGTTGTGCCAGTCAGCTTTCGTATGATATTGTTTCTAGCACCCACTTTTTGCTTGATGTTCAGGCAGTGCTTCTTGTAGGTAAGAGCACGGTCCAGAGTGACTCCCAGGTATTTGGGTGTGCTGCAATGCTCCAGTGGGATTCCTTCCCAGGTAATACTCAGAGCTCGAGATGCTTGTCTGTTCTTAAGGTCTTGGCCTTATAGGTGGAAGATAGATTGAATTTCTTGCCTTACCCAGGGGATTGGATTACATTGTCTCTGAAATTATTTCCATTTCTGTACAAGTTAGTTTTCTGTATCCAGGAATTTAATCATACATGGGTTGAAAAATGTTTTGTTTAAATCCCAAAAGTGTGCCTTGATTTTGCCATTTCATGTAAGGGACACAATCTTATTTAATGGAACTTAAGCATCCATGGGTTTTGGTACCCACAAGAGTCCTGGAACCAAACCCCAACAAATACCAAGGGTCCAATCCCCTCCCCCCTCCAATCTAGTTTCCTTGAGAAGCACAGAGTGGTTAGCACAATCTCCGCATATACATACACCTTTAATGCTACTTCTTCATATATCTTGAGATCTGGGACTTAAAGTAGGTGTGAAGTTTTAGGCAGAGTTCCTGCATGTTGTGGGTACTATTGTAACTTCAGGAGCTGTGTCTGGAAAATTGGCAAGTCTGCAGGTGAGTATTATGCCAGATGGGAAAAACAGGTCATAGGTGGGATTTGCTACTTTGCCTCTGGAGGTCTTTCATTGTACATGAAACTGCAGGAATAGAGCTGATGTCAAAGCAACTGTAATTACTATTGAGCATAAGATTCGAGGGAAGTCATAGTCCCACTCTAGTCTGCATTAGTCATGGCAGAATAGGGTTGGGCTGGATGGCCTATGTGATCTCTTCCAGCTTTGTTTCTATAATACACAAAATACTTTCAAATCACTTTGAACATTCCAGAAAATAAAGGAAGAAGGGATATAGCAATATTTTCCTTATATCAATTTTAATACTGTATGCATCTTGGGAAACAAGTTGTCATTCTGTTTTCCAGATGCATAGATCTAATTTCAGTCCCCTTAAATCAATTAGCACTTTGGTAAAGCAATACTAATGTATCCAAAAGTTCTGAATGGATCCAAAAGTTCTAATCTTGTAGGACTTTGAAGTTACATTTAGACCCATAACATAGTATTTAAGACATTAAGGGAGGATCTTTAGATCTGCAGTTTAGTTCCATAGTATATTAGTTTGAATAATGGTCTATGACTCTGAAGACCAGGATTTGATTCCCTGTGGAATCCCATAGGGTTACGTTGAGCAAGTCACACTCTCAGCCTAGCAAACCTGTGAAAGGTTTGTTTTAGAGTCGCCTTAAGTTGGAAACTGACCTAAAATTCAAAAGAATTCCTAGCATTAAGAGACTGAAGGTGTGAATCCCCTTTAGCTGTTTACTATTATGCAGCAATTAGGATGCACAGACTAAAGGCATGAAGCCTCTTATCTGTAAAGAAAGGGAGTCATCTCTCAAGTATATAGATTCTACCTGGGCAATTTCCTGTTGTTTTATTTTCTTTTGGCCCCAAGGTATACTGTTACATCTGCTTTTATTAAAAACCACCCCCCACTTAGAGCTTTTAAACACATTTCTTTTTTGTAGATCTTTGTAGATAAGGCCACATTTGGGCTCTTTGGCTTACGGTGCATGGGGTGAGTTTAATTTCTCTGAAGAAAGGAGGAAAATTGGTATTTCTAAGCATTAATGTTCATACTCAGTGTGTGGCCTTCTTCGTAAGAGTCATAGGTCTATATCTTTTATTACATACTGATGCGTCTTCAATTTCTCTTTGTGTTTAATAAAAAATACCTATAAAGATAGTGTGTGAACTGTTATAATTAACATATTGCATTTAGTACTTAGTGCCAAGTGTTAAATATTGAGCTGAAGGTTCTTTGTCTTGCAAACCAAAAGACCAACAGTTGTTGTACACATGTACTCTGTGTTACTCATTTATTACATTACTGAATTGGTGATTCCCACTCCTATTGTTGTTTATGTGTATGTGTGAGTAGCAATGCAGTTTCCATAACTTTTGAAAACAGTCCTAACTCAATGTTTGAGAAGAGGTGGGATTGATATTCTAGTGAAAAATATGAATATAATATGAATTTACTTAGGAAACTCACATTTATCTCTTGAACACCATGGTTTATATTGTAGTATATGAAATTGTACTGTTTGAGATATTTGTGAACTTTTCCACAAATCATGGCAATACCCACTCCCCTTGAGTGGTCCTAGCCTCAGATGTGCAGAAGAAAAAATATGACAAGTCAGTAGTTGAAACCATATATTAGGTAATACATAAATTGAACTGGAGCCCCCGGTGGCACAGTGGGTTAAACCCTTGTACCGGCAGGACTGAAGACCAATAGGTCGCAGGTTTGAATCCAAGGAGAGCACAGATGAGCTCCCTCTGTCAGCTCCAGCTCCCCATGCGGAGATATGAGAGAAGCCTCCCACAAGGATGGTAAAAGATCAAAAACGTCCAGGCGTCCCCTGGGCAATGTACTTGCAGACGGCCAATTCTCTCACACCAGAAGCAACTTGCAGTTTCTCAAGTCACTCCTGACACCAAAATAAATAAATAAATTGAACTATTATTTGGGAAACAGTCAAAATATTAAAGACTCGTAGCATATTTGGATTTCCAGTGAAAAGTTTATAACAACAATGAATCTAACAGAAAAGTTAGTCTTTGTCATATAATTTCCAATATCATTAACATGCACTGGCAAGAGTCTCGGGATAGATCAAAAGTACCTTTTCCAAAATTCTTAATTGAACTCTTGGTGTTTATAATAATCTGTAAGGAAGTGCTTGTATTACTGTAATTGACAGAAAAAATGTCAAGCACATGTGAATTAATTACTTTAAAAAACCCAGGAATGTCCATGAGTACCATGAAATAAAATCTTTATAAAGCCAAGCAGAAAGTGAAAAGAAAATTGTACCTGATTTAGAAAGTTGCAGGCTTCTTCATAATTTAAAAAATATTTTTAGTAAGAAAATAAGTCACCTTTAAAAAAATTATATGGTTAGGTTTACATGTTAATTATTGTGTTACTTAGTTAAATAGGTATCCGTATATATTTTTGTGAATTATCTGGAGGGAATTTTTTATGATTGCCATGTAAAAAAAATTAAACAATATTAAAAACCTTGGTATGAGATTCAGATCTTAAAAAACTGATAGTCAAATACCTAGCAAGCATATAAAGGCTAAGATAGTTAAGATTGTGTTCTCCTGCTCTACTGAGAAAATACAGAAATAAGTTGATCTTTGGGGAAAATGTAAACTTAAAACAATACAGTATAGTGTATTTTCATTCCTAAGTAAAGAACAAATAAAATGCATGCAGTGGACAGTGATCAGTATATCAAATCATTGCATACATGTTACAGTGAAGGTTGGTTTTTTAAAAAAAACAAAAGACAGTGTAAGACTATTTTTATCCTCCTATTAACGCTGTAGGGTAAATTAGGTGCCAAGAAAATGAATGATCAATGTGCTTCACAGATGGATGCCAATTCAAAACTGCTTTTCCTTGATTCTAGTCTTTACACTGTAAGCTTTATACACTGTTGCCTCTTACTAACCATTGAATGAGTAGACTGCAAATTCCAAGTAACAGGACTTCTTATTCTATTTTAATTGCTCTTCTAGGTTCCTGAAGCCTTTGTGGAGGTGACTGTACGTTCAAATGAGTTGCATTGTTCACTGGTTGGCCGTTGTCGGAGAGCGTTGTGCAGGAAAGCCATGGAAGAGAACTACAGGAACATTACCTCTTTTGGTAAAGTCTCCCTAACAATATTTGTTACCACTCCCAAGGAGGTCTGGACCAGGAATGGGCAAACTTTGGCCCTCCAGGTGTTTTGGACTTCTGCTCCCACAATTCCTAACAGCCCATACCTGGTCTAGAATAACTTGTTGAGGAACTCCACATGTTGTGATTGCTGTGTTTGACACAATCTGTGAATCCAGAAAATATGGGGCGAATAAGGTTGCTGTTTTTTCTATGTGTAGGAATATGAAAGACAGGCTTGCCTAAGAAGATGTCAAAGTGAATTCGTGGCAGAAGTAAATGCAACACAGAAGCTTTCTGATTTATAGCGCATCCTCTGATTCCTATGCCATATGATGTTCCTCCCATATCTCTCCCTTCCTCTCCACTTTAGGAGGGTTTTCTGTTCATAGCTCTGACCTGCTGAGTCGCCTAAACCATCTAAACCGAGGGGAAGAGGCCTGGGTTCCAGATCTCCAGAGTTCTGATGAGAGTGCAGATGAAGGTCCAGTGAAGCCAACACTGAAACGATGGCCAAAGGGAGGAATGTGGTGGGATCGGTATAGAAGTCCTAGAGAGTACCCTAGTTCAGAGTCTACACTCTCAGGTGGGAATTGTTTTTAGAGGGTTGAATGAAAACAATGGTGAGTGGGTGATTTCTTAGGGTGGTGTAGAGCAGAGGTTCTTTAACATTTCCACCCACATCCAGTTGCTGTCTGAGAAATGTTAGGTGACCCCAGATACTGTATATAAAATAGATTCAAAAATGAAACATTTACTTTAAATAAATCTGCACTTATGAACAGGCTAATTTTCCTTTTTGTGGGTATCTTCTGCAGAGTGCACTGTAAACACTGCAGTAATAGATTTCTCTAAATGTCTAGGTGGCATTCATAATAATAATAATAATAATAATAATAATAATAATAATTGCACAGTCAAAAACACAAATACTATAAAAATTCTACAAACACAAATATTAAAATACAGTTCTATAAAAAGATACATATCAAAGCATTTCTATAAAATACACATTAATAATACAGGACAGAGACCAAAACACAGGACGTGAGTTTAAAATTCGTGCTTTCAACTGGCCCATTTGGGGTCAGGGCTCACAGTTTAAGAAGCAGTGGTTAGAGTGCATAGGGAGGAGGGCTTCAGTATGCAATCATGTTACTGAATCACTAAAAAGAAAAAAACAAATTGTGTATAGGGCACAGACCTTCATCTTCAGCTGACTTGCACTTTTTTAAAGCTCTTGCAAGTGTAGTTTGGTTGGGGAACATGGTACTTGCTCCATGTGCATCTTATTTTAGTTGGAAATTGCTGGGAGAGGTTTGGGTCTCCCTGTCACTGCACAGTAGAAATGTGTGGTGTACTGGCAGATTTATCTAAATCACCAGGGCTATAAAGATCTGTAGGTTAAAGCACCAGCTGGCAAAGTGCTGTCTACTGAGTCGCCTACGGGCTGAGAGAGTGCGGTATACAAATAAAGTAAATAAATAAATAATACTAGCTGCATGTGGCCTCTAAACCCTCCCAGGAGTCAAAAATAGGAACATTTTGGTGCCAGAAAGTTTTGTACTGAAACTCTCTAAACTTTCTTCTAGGTAACATTGGTACATTCCCACCACACTTTCTGGACCACTTGGTCTAATTTAGATCCAGGAGAGTCCTTTTTTGTGGGAGCTTCCAAGTCTCCTAGGAGGCTAATGTGGCCCCAGGCTTCCATGGAACACTTTATCCTTGTTGAAAATCCCTCCATTTTAAGAGCATTAATGGGAAGGACATTACTTGTTGTATGATGTCTACATCATGTTTAGAGGAAAGCAGTATTAAAGCATTTTGTTATTGTTGGGCGATTTCAAGCTGAGGCCAACTTAATGATGATCCCTATCTTAAGGTTTACTTAACAAGATTTGTTCAGAAAGCGCTTGCTTTTGCCTTGCACCAAGATTGAGAGACTGACTTGCCCAAGCTCACCCAGCACATTGACATGGGGTTTTGAATCCTGGTTTCTCAGAATCCTAGTCCAGGACTCTAACCAGTTCACAGCATTGGATCATTAATCAATATACTGCATAATGAACCAAAAGAAGTTTCACATTTGTCTTGCTGACTGAATGCTATTTTATGTATACCTCTGGTCTTATCTTACATTACAGTTTTATGTAAATATTCAAAAACATTTAACCTACTGAAGCCTCAATTAATGTAATTTTATTGGTATCTATTTTTATTTTGAAATTTACCAGTAGCTGCTGCATTTCCCACCCTCGGCTGATACTCAAGTCAATACATTTTCCCAGGTTTTTGTGGTAAAATTAGGTGCCTCGGCTTATATTCGAGTCAGCTTATACTCGAGTATGTATGGTATTTCAAAATCCAAAAAATACAAAACACTTCTGATCCCTAGCATTTTGGATAAGTCATACTATAATATGATGGTAACAGTAGCACTGTTACACTTATACTAAAAGGCATTATGTGATCATTTAGGGTTTTTTACTCAGTAACTCCTTGTTTCCAATTTAATATATTTTATTGAGGACTATTTTCTGTTTTTTGCCCCTTGTGTGTGTGTGTTGTGTGTACACACACACACACGTCTATCCAATGAGGAAGACTGGTGGTGTGGTGGAAATCCTACTATTATCTCTGAAGAATTATCAGAGATTATTTATTTACTTCATTTCTACCCTGACTTTCTCACTCGAAGGGACTCAAGGCGGCTTACAATTCTGGCAAAAATTCAAAGCCGGTAAAAACCAGTACTAACAATAAAAAATAAACAGTTAAAATGATTAAAATTAAGCAATATAATATAATTCAGGTTGTGTCCTCCCACTATTTTCTTTTACTACTCTGATAATTACCTACCTCTGAATATTTTCCTCCTTCTCTTTCCTTTAGCTGACGAACAGGGAAGTGAGGCTGAAGAAGAGAAACCTCAGCATGGAAGTCACAAACAGACAATACTTTGTGGAAATTTAGTGGACATTTCTAAAGGGAACGGGTCAAATAGTCTCAAAGAAAAAGAGGCCTGTAGGAATGGGTCTCAATTGAAGAAACCTCCTCGAAGCCAGCAAGGAAAGCTAAAGGTAAATTTAGCAAATGTCAATGACATAACCAAGGAGAAGGCTGTGGGAGAGGAGCAGCAAAATGCCTGTCTCCACTGTAACAAGGCTTTCAAATCAAAACAATCCCTTTCCAATCATCTGAGAATACATTTTAAAGAGAATACCTACGAATGTTCTTCTTGTGGAAAAACGTTTACAGCAAAAAAGAAGCTTATTGAACATTTAAGAAGCCATGAAGAAAAAAATATTTGTAAATCTCCAAGCAGTTCTACAAAGCATCAGAATAATCCCTCAGAAAAAATGCCTTATAAATGCCTGGAGTGCAATATGCGTTTTATGGAGAAGGACCTCCTTTTGGTACACCAAACGGACCATGGGGCAAAACGGCCCCATATCTGCCCTGAGTGTGGGACAGCTTTCATTCAAAAAGCACATCTTGACAGGCATCTAAAAACCCATCAGCGTCGAAAAATGGATAAACCTCCCGAGGATGAGAAAGAAGCAAAGGTGGAAGAGTCTCCTGAAACACCTGAGAAGGAAGCCTCAGCAGACCCAGTTTGTGAGGCAACAGTTTTGCCAGAGAGTCCCACCAAAGCCCAGGAAGATGAGACTGATCTCTATAAATGCCAGTTTTGTGGGAGAAGTCTGAGGTCCAAAAGTTTGCTGGTTGATCATGAGAGAATCCACAAGGAAAAGAAAGCTTATCCGTGTACCCACTGCAACAAAAGCTTCCATTTCAAACATGTTTTGTTGCTGCACGAGACAATCCACAAAAGACCAGCAGCTGGCTACAAGAAGAGGGGAAGATCACATCCTTCCTCTGGTTCCAAAATGCTCCAAACACCAGAGAACCCTTCAAAAGACTCCATTGATGGGAAAACAGCTACTCATAGCAATGAGGTGGTCCCTCACTCAAGGAGAAACATGCCCAGGTTGCTCTATCAGTGCCAATATTGTGGCAAATCCTTGAGCACGATTGTTACACTTGCTGATCATGAGAAACTCCACATAGAAGAGAGACCCTATAAGTGCCATGAGTGTGCAGAAAGTTTTGTTCGAAAGTACAACCTTATCCGACATCAAGAGATCCACTCAAAACAGGAGACTTTAAAGCCTAACAAGTATTTGAGAAGGTTGAGGATGAAGAGCCACCGTGTAGAACATTATACAAGTCTTGGACGCGGCATCACTCACAATGTGCAACTTTTTAGGGACCCCAAAACCTTCCTAGAGGGCAGGTACTATAAGTGTCAGCATTGTAGGAAATATTTCAAAACAAAAACCTCACTTGTTAACCACAAAATAATCCATAAGAGAAAGACGTCATATCAGTGTGTAGAGTGCAAGAAAAGCTTCTCTCAGAAGCAGCATCTTTTTTCCCATCAGAAAAAACACGCAAAGAAAAAACTGTCTGTGTGCTCAGATTCTATGCAAAAAATAAGCAAAAAATGTTTGCATACATCTCTCAAACATGGAAAATCGTGCAGAAAAAAGCTGGCATGCAGTTGTCGTCGTGAGAGGAATTTAAATTGTAACGATGCCCTCTCTAGGCATGAAAGTGGCCACTCAGACCACAGATGTGTTTTCTGTGGGAAAGGTTTTTTTCATATGTGGAATCTGAAGAGACATGAAATGATTCACCTGAAAAAAGATGTCTTATCTATAACAGGGGAAAACAATGTTTTGCAGGACTCCGAAGAGGAAAAGATAAAACCACAGGAAGTATTTGGAGAAAGATCCAAGATTGGAACTCTGGAGGATTCTGGCCAGGGGGAAAGACATGTTCAGGTGCAAGCAAAATTATCCAGGACACTACACAACCATGTTCTCCACAGCCACAGGGAAGCAATCATTCCTGTCAAGAAGGTTGTGAAACCAGAAATGAAGCTAAGCAGACAAAACATTGCTATTCTACCTTATAGACAGGACAAACACTACATCCACCAGCAGTTTCAGCCAAAAAAACATTCCAAGAAGAAACATCTCCAAACTTGCCAGAAAGAAAAAATCTGTGTTGACTTGCAGTTGAGGTCACAGGCCCTGCCACCAAGAAAATCGAAGAGAGAGAAACATCTGCCTAGCTGGTGGGCCAGATTTGGCTTCTGTCAGCAGGAGGAGATAACACCAAGAAAGAAATCCCCAAAGGCCAAAGTCTGTAAGAATGTAAAAGATTGCAGTACTCCCAAAAATAACTCAAATGCAACAGTTCCCTCCACGTTATTGAAAAATACCACCAATAGCTGGAAGCAAGAGAAATCCTGTTTCAGTTTATCACACCACAGAACATTTTCTAGAGAATCCAAAATGGAGACTAGTAAAAGAATTGTTCAAGGGAGTTCAGTCTACCTTGAACAGCAAAAAGGTCTACAAGACGTTCTGGAGAGGAAACAGGGAGACCCTCAGAGATGTAAGCCAGATGTTTGTGAGCCCCAGTCTTTGTCGTTGCTCCCCGAAAGCAGTGTTCCTCAAAACTGTGAAGGAATCAAACCCATAGAAGCACTCCAAAATACAGTTTCTCAAAACCAGGAGAAGCTGTCCACCAGGCAGCAACCAGAAGTTCAGTTAATGCCATCAGAAGCAGTTGGAAACCTCACTCCACAAAGTCACAGGGAACAAAGAAATTGCTTTGAACCATTAAGAACAAAATTGTTTGAAGTGCAGAATGGAGCTCCTGAAAGAGAAATGGCTACTTGGCATCAATCTGAAGAAACACTAGCTAAACACGCGTGCAGTCAGTGTACAAAATCTTTTTGGAGTGAAATAAACCTTCTCATACATGAAAAAACCCACAAAGGAAACAACAAGCCCTTCACTTGTTCTCGGTGTGAGAAAAGTTTCTATGCTATACACAGTCTTTATGTTCACATGCGGGTCCACACAGTAGAAAAGCCATTCAAGTGTTCCAAGTGTGACTTTCGCTGCAATGTAAGTTCTAACCTCAGGAGGCACAAGGAAACCCACGTCCGAGAGAAACCCTTCCCTTGCCTTCAGTGTGAGGAGAGCTTCTGGTTCAGCCACAGCCTTTTTGCCCATTTGAAAATCCATAGTGTGAAGGAGCCTTACAAATGCCCTGAATGCAAGCAGATGTTCTCAAGGAAAAATAAGCTCAAACAGCACAGGAAATCCAAACACTATTCAGGATCCATATCAGCCTGTTCAGATACAAGTTAGTGCCTCCCTTCTTCTGTTATGGTGGATCATGTGCATGCATTCTTGGGCCATGTGCTTGGTGTGGCAGAGAAGCATTATAACCTACCTCTATGCTGAATCTGAGACTGGGTATGGCAGAGTCAGGACTTTCTTCCACACTAATGGAGCATCAAGGGGCAAAGGAGAGCTCCTTAATGTAGTGCAATGGGTTATTCACATGCCTTGTGCTCAAGCAAACTTTTCTTGCACCCACTTCCTGTAAACTGCATGTGGACAACCCTTTAGAAAGTGAAAGAGTTGAAGTGCAAGATAAGGTTAACAAAATACTAGGTTCTGAGTAAGTTTTTTTGATGAAGGTAGGATTTTAAATTTTCTCTGTATCTCTGGAAGCCTTTCCCAGAATGGGAAAGACTTCCTTTATTTTTTTTAACCTTGTGTCTTTTGGGGTTGATCAATAGCTTTGACAAAAATACATGGACGGACTCAGTGTTAGCCATTATAATGAGGCTGAGGTTTGTTGTGGATTTCTTAGACATTTGAACCCTGCCGTGGTCTGTTCTATTACAGAAAGTTATATATATGTATCTCCTCTTGAAATTTGTCTTCCTTTTACTAGATAGTTCATAGGTATATGTGTGTGTAATAAAAATTCATTTACCCTCAATTCACTGTCATAATTCAAATTTCTCTCTTGCTTCTGCCATACAGAATTATTGTTATCAGTTTATATCGTTGGTTGACTCTCTGGCATTCCATTTACTGTACTGTGAATTAGCAGCTAAATTTCTTAGAAGTGTTCATTGTTTGTCCATTACAAAGGAACCCTGTTCTTCCAGCACAGAAGCTTTTAATGGCCAAAGGTAAGCAAACTGTCAAAACGAAGAATGTTTTGCTAGCATTTTAAATTCAGAGAGATTTGAAGCCACAAATCCCACAAAGATAGCCACAGAATAAGAAGGAAGAAGAACTCTTTCTTCATAAAGGCCAGTTCCGTGTTTCTTATGCTTTTTTGATGAAAGTAGAAAACCTTTGGCCTTTCTGAGGTTTTGGATCACGGTTCACCAAATTGTGAGAGGTGGAGAGCATGTAATTTTGTCCTCAGTAGCATAAATTAGCTAAAGGTTTAGATTTTAAAGATTCACACGTACCAAATGTTGATTTGAATATGTGAATTGGGTTTTATGTTTCTAAGTACAAAATCTATACGATTGTTGAATCCTGCCTTCTGGGCACTAAATTATAATAATTCAGATTTTTTTCCCCCCGTGTCAGGAGCAACTTGTGAAACTGCAGGTTGCTTTTGGTGTGTGAGAATTGGCTGTCTGCTAGGATGTTGCCCAGGGGATGCCTGGATGTTTTGATATTTTAACAGCTTTGTGGGAGGCTTCTCTCATGTCCCTGTAAGGTGAGCTGGAGCTGACAGAGGGAGCTCATCCACACTCTCCCCGGTTTCAAATCTCCAGCCTGTTGATCTTCAGTCCTGCTGCCACAAGGTTTAACCCATTGCACCATGGGGATCCTAACAATTCTGATAAAACCATAATAAAAACCAAACAAAAAGTATTACAATATTACCTAAAGCTAAATCAAACAGGAACACAGAATCCAATACAATTTCAAAAAATTTATTTACTATATTTATATGCCGTCCCTCTCAGCCCACAGGTGACTTGGGGCGGTTTACAATTGGTGCCAAGACCAAAAAATACAATTTCAATACAATAAAAACAATCAGATAATAAAACCAAAAAAGATATTAAGACCCATTAGAATGACAGTAGGAAAGGTTTAGTTGGGTGTCGGACTGCTCTCTGGATACTAGGGTTCAAATTCCTGCTTAGCCATAGGTATCCATTGATAGGATTATCTGAGTCCTCATTAGTTGGAAGTGATTTGAAGGCCAACAACAGCATTCCTATGTTTTTATCTTCCTATGATTTAATAGAAGGGCACAAATCAAGCTAGCATTCCTAGGCAGTGAGCTATAAAACAAGCCTCCTAATGATCAGAAATTTGGAGCGGATACAGAACCCTTATTGCACCTTCGTTTCTCACCTTGTATACAGTATGGCAGGGCCCTGCAGTGTCAACAGAACCTGCAGCACTCGATAATTTCACTGGTCAATCTGATGTGTAGTTCCATTTGATCTGGCAAGTCAGGGATCAAATCCCCATTCAGCCACAGAAACCTACTGGGTGAACATGGGTGAGTCACATTCTCTCAGCCTCAGGAAAGCAAGGGCAAGCCCTCTCTGACAAAATCTTACCAGGAAGAGCCTGTGATAGGTTCACTGAGGGTTGCCATTTGTCAGAAATGACTTGAAGGCACACTACAACAATATACAGGAAGAAACAGCAGATGGCATCTTGATTGACAAAGGGTTAAGTCCACCTCGTGCCCTTTGTAGCTGAGCAGGGATATAAATCCTGGTCTCCAGAGTAATGAACACTCAAATTATTATACCTCACTGGGTTGTGTCCCTGTGCCTCTGTAAATCCCTTTTCTTGGTTGTTAAGGAGGTGAGAATTATTTACTGATTGCAAAGGTAAAGCTCCCCACCTTTTTAAGTTGCTGAAGTATCTCCAATGCATCTGCTTCCTATCTGGTGTAGAGTGTAGAGCAGTGGCAGAGCAATATTATGTGCCTTAATTTGCATTTCTGGAATCATATTAGCAGTTAGTGTCATGATGGTCTGAGTTATTAGTCTGATTTCTGAGTTATTAATTTGAAACTTTGTCAAAAAGTGCATATGCTTGTGTTGTGTAATATGCACGTTTGCATATTTTCTATATTTTTTATAATATTAATCATTCAGTATGGACTTCAGTACTTTCAAGGAGTGCAGTGCTTACAATGAGAGCAGACATGGTGTAGTAGCATAGACATTGCAGAAAATGAGTAGAAACTCACTGAGTGACTTTGGGTGGTTCACACTCTCTCAACCCTACAAAACCTGTGATAGGTTCACTTTGAGGTTACATAAGTTGGAAATTACTTGAAGGCTCACAAGAACAAACATGTTAACTATCTGCTGATGAGTTTTGAAACACCTTGGGAAGAGGATTAGCCTCCAGCAACAAATCTAAACAGAACTTTGTGTTGTCGAAAGCTTTCATGGCTGAAATCACTGGGTTGCTGTGAGTTTTCAGAGTTGACCAGCCATGTTCCAGAAGCACTCTCTCCTGACGTTTTGCCCACATCTATGGCAGGCACCCTCCGCGGTTGTGAGGTCTGTTGGAAACTAGGCAAGTGAGGTTTATATGCCTGTGGAATGTCCAGGGTGGAAGAAAGAACTCTTGTTTGCTGGAGGCAACTGTGAATCTTGCAATTGGCCAGCCTTGTTTATTAATTGTGTAATATGTAGGTGTTAACTGTTTTTATATTGTTGCATTGAATTTTGCTGCTCTTGATTGTTGTGAACTGCCATGAGTCGCCTTCGGGCTGAGAACAGCGGTATATAAGTAAAGTAAAGTAAATAAATAAAGAAATAAATAAATTGTTCGCATTGAATAGCCTTGTAGCTTCAAAGCCTGGCTGGCTCCTGCCTGGGGGAATCCTTTGCTGGGAGGTGTTAGCTGTGCCTGATTGTTTCCTGTCTGGAATTCCCCTGTTTTTTGAGTGTTGTTCTTTATATACTGTCCTGATTTTAGAGGGTTTTTTTTTAATATTGGTAGCTGGGTTTTGTTTATTTTCATGGTTTTCTCCTTTGTTAGAGTGGTCCAGCATTTCTGTGTTTTCAAATAAATATGCTGTGTCCAGGTTGGTTCAAGTGCTATGGCTGACTTCTCAGGTTGAAGTAGTCTGTAGTGCCTTTTATGGTCCTTGATTTGTGTTCAGGTGCTATGTTTGGTCATCTCTATGTTTTGAATGCATCTCCAAAAACTAGAGGCAGGCATCCTCAAACTGCAGCCCTCCAGCTGTTTGGGCCCCCAACTCCCAGAAGCCCTAAGGAGCTTGTTCAGTTGTCAGAAATTCTGTGAGTTGAAGGCCCACACAGCTGGAGGGCCACAGTTTGAGGATGCCTGACTAGAGGCATATACATTTGCCACCAAGAGTGAAAAGAGGAAAAACTATCCTTAAAAATAAGGAACCATTGGATCAAACAGGCACCCATACTTGTTTCCAGGCCTTGAATGCTTCCTGTAGATACCAAAATGAGCTTTCACAGTATAATAAACTAGGTGCAAAATAATGTGTTTTCAAATGCATATAATCGTTGTCCGTGAGACTGGCAATTTTTAAGGTAAGCCAAACAATAGGGAGAAGCATTGTGTTCCTTAATGCCTTCCTGGCTTCTATTATTTTGCTGAGCTGCCATTCAGCCACCCTTTTGTTATTTGAGTAATCCCTAAAGCCTGGATAGTTAGTTCATAATGACTTTCCTGGGGTCTGCAATGGTTTGGAGGTCTGGGATTTTCACTTCCCCCAATTCATAGTCTGTTTTAGCCATAGATAGATTCAGAGGAATAGTAAAGCCTCTAAAACTTCTAAATACAGGGAGACAAACCCCTGTCGAGACAGGAGTCTGGTACTGAAACATTTGTTTCCCACACAAATTAATTATTTCACAATAGAGATCACTTGTAAGGATAAAGAAATTGCGGTCAAGCCACCTAATTTGAGAGATAGAGAATGCTTAGAAAGAGTCACACTGAGGAGGCGGCATGTTTTCTGCTGCTCTGCAAACTAGGACACAGAGCAGTGGATTTAAATGGCAGAAAAATATATGCCAGCTAAACATTAGGAAAAACTTACATAAGAACTACTTGGCAGTGGAATATGTTGTCTGGGGACATAGAGGAATCTCCTCTGGGGTTTTTTAAACAGGTTTCAATGATCACCTGCGGAGGCTGTTTTTATTATGTCTTTCTTCATGCCAGAATGGGTTGGACTGGATGGACAACTACATGGTTCAGTGACATTTATGTACATTTTGCAGACTAGGTTTTTGAAGGTCCTTTATAGGATCTGTGAGGAAAATGTGAAAGAAAACACCTGGAAAAACAAGTCTACATCAATAAGTTTTGGCTGGATGAGATCAGTGTTGTCTATAGCCTTCTGATATCACAAAGGCCCAACAAGATGCCTCTGAGAAACACAGAGTAATAATAAGGTGGCAATAATAATCTCCCGGCTTTCAAAGTTCCCTAGCATTCAGAAACATACTGCTTCCAACCCTGAAAAGTGTAGTTAGCTATGAGAGCTGTGAATAGCCTTATTTTTCATTAAAGGAGTGAACCTTAAGTGGACAATAGCAATAAATGGCTGTTGCATTGCAGAGAGAGAGAGAGACTGCATTACTTTTGATATCCTTCCCAAGTCTTTGACTTTAAGACTTGGCACCCAAGGCAAGCAAACAGGGCATCTAAGGTTTGCCTTTGAGCCTGGTGACTGAGTCACTGAAGCAGCAGAACACAAGCTTGCTCAACCTTCAACATAATATCCTTTCAAATATTTAAACATTTCAATCCTG